GATTTTTGTTTTTTCCATTTTAGTTTTAGTTACTGAATTTAGAGGGGATGGGGAGAGAGAAAAACATCAATTTGCTGTACCACTTACTCCTTCATTCCTTGTATGTCCCCTGACCAGAGATCAAGCCCCGCCTACTTTGGCATATATTGACAATATTCCAATGTTTTTTTTTAAATGATACACCTGAGTGCAGAAGCAAGGACTTGGCACTGGCTTTGAAACCTTTTCTGATTCTCTGTTGTGGGTGGAAGAGAGCCTATTCACTCTAGTGGTTTTTATGTTAATATTCAGAATTATATCAGTTATCCTAGCTGCCAAGTAGATACTGACTTTTTTCAAAATTAATTAACTAGGTTTCTGATCAGATGGGTCACCATGGGTCGCTGTTCATCCCTGGTCCGGGCGACAGCTGCCAGGAGGATGGAGCTCATCGCAGGGAGTGCAGTGCTCTGGGATCTGAGGGTTACTGTCCTGGGCCAGCTGAGATGGGAGCATGGACTCTGAACCCTGCAGTGCCTGTCCTGGGGTGATTATGGATTGGAGGAGTAAACACAAGTCATCGCAAACACTTCTCTGTTTGCCAGGATAGGGGACATGGCTCTTCCCTCTAGTGAGGAAGGCCCCAAGCCCCTTGGTTCAAAGGCTTTTTATTGAAAAGGTTATCAGTGGGGCTAGGTAACAGGAATGCACAAGTTATCTCATTATATTGGTATGTTAATTATAGAGATTAGATGATGTTTTGAAGAAAACAAATGGTAGGAACACATCAAATTACATGGGTCCAAGAGGAGACTACTAAACAAGAGAGATGAGTAAACAGGAGAGCGTTGTAAACATAAGAGTGCCAAAGGGTATAGGGTTAGGGTCAGTGAATAATGTAAATTTCCTTCCCAGCATGAGCTGGCTATCATAACTTTTGAAGGTAAAACAAAAGCATACTTTAAAGAATTTACTTCTAGGTCTGATTTCCCCTGGAAACTACCATATCTAGTTTAGGTCTGTCTCTAGTAGTGTTTTGAGCCTGAGCCAGGCAGGGGGAGGGAGCCATCAAGAGATAAGGAGACTTCTTTCAAGATAGAATGAGGACTCTGGCCATGTCCAAGCCAAGGTTAGGGGAGCTGAGGGGTGCAGGCCTTTTTGCCCTTTCTCTGTGTCCCCCAAGTCTTTGCTGCCCATACAGGCCAATGTCTGTCTTAGGTGGTTTCTCCTCATGAGAAAACTTACCTGTTGTCAACCAACCATCATAGGGCGAAGCAGGGTGATGTGAGCGAGGCAGGGGCTGGGCCCATGCCAGGGGGACAGGTTTTGTCTCCTCAGTGGCCTGTTTTCCCAAGGCCTCCTTGATTATTTCCAGCCTTTGGGCGCTACAGCTTGTCGGCAGGGTTACAGTTCCTGAAACCAGAGAGGGCATTTCCCAACAAACATCCCCCCCACAAAAAAACATACCCTGGAATTGGAATATTTGCCAAATGATAAGTGGTGATGAATGGAGGAAACATGATTTACCATTTGATATAATTAACTTTTAAAACATTTGTATTAGGAGAAGTCTTAAAAGACATAGAGGCAGTATGGTACAATGAGTTTCATTGTATTTATTACCCAGTTAAACATCAACTTTCTGTACCCCACCCTTTAAAAAAAAAATTTATTTTTAGAAGGGAAGGGGGAGAGAGGGACAGAAACATCAATGTACAGTTGCCTCTCACGTGCCCCCCACTGGGGACTGGGCCCACAACCCAGGCATATGCCCTGACTGGGAATCAAACCGATGACCCTTTGCTTCGCAGTCTGTGCTCAATCCACTGAGCCACACCAGCCAGTGCTTTTTTCCTTTTTTTCTTAATTGAATTTATTGGGGTAACATCGGTTAATAAAATTATACAGGTTTTAGGTATACAGTTCTAGAATACATCATCTGTATATTGTGTTTACCACCCCAAGTCGCCCTCCATCACCATTTTTCCTCCTTTACCCTCTTCTATCTCCCCACTGCCCCTTCCCTCTGGCATTCACCATATTGTTGACTCTGTCCATGAAGTTTGTTTTTTTTTTCCTTTGCTAAAACCCTTCACCTCTCCCAGCCTCCAACCCTCTGACAGATGAGTCTTCCCCCCGCTTATTTGTTAGAGTATTTTAAAACAAATCTCAACCATGATATAATTTTACCCATAAATGTTTTTAAAACAACCACAATATTGGAGTGTGTTGACAAGATAGATGGTGATGGAGTAGGAGGGTGTTTCTCATACCTTCCAGAACCAAACTGGTAAAAATAAAGAGGGGAACAGCTGCCTGAAAGCTACCTGAAGAGGAGACTTTTAACCAAGGATGGGCAAAAACCATCTCAAGTCTGATAGGAAGGGTGAGTATGCTAAGGCGGCTGGCCCCACTGTCATGGGCAGCAGGCTGAGGTTATGGCATGGCTGTGGGAGCTTTGCCCTGAGAGGAGTGAAGCCTGGATCCTAGACTGGGTTCCCAAGCATAAAAGTCCAGTGCAGGGATCAGCCACCCACACAGCATTCAGTGGTGAAAGGTCATGGGTTTTATGTCTGCTAGGGAAAGGCAGAGTCCACTGGAGACAAAGCCACTATTTTTTTAAGGAGCCAAACCACAGGTTTTTTTATTCATGGCCACTCACCGTGGGCTCCAGTGAAGGGAGGGCAGCATGGACTTAAAGTCACCCAAAGAGAGTCTGGAGTAGGAGGCACTGGGGAGAGACATTGGGGAGCTGCTGCTGGGATCCATGTGCTGGCTCACCTCCCAATACCGCAGCAGCAATTGCGTTTGAGAAGAGAAAGCTCCTCCCAGGACAAAAACAATTACTCTGCCCTGTGGGATACCTCTTGCTGCACCCTCCGGAACCCAGCCTGCATCTTAACCCCTGGGGAGGAGACAGCAACATAGGGAGATTAGGCATGTCAGAGACTGAATGTAGGGTATGGCCATTCCCTATACTTCCTCTGGAGCCACTGGTGCTTCCCTCCATGGGGAACCAAGAAACATCTTCCTGGTTTCTGGCAGACTCAAACCCTAGGTTCAGGAGGCACCATCCACTTTCCTACTAGTGGCTCCACCCTGCAAAGTTCAGGTAAATAATCTGGGACAGGCAAACACATGTGGCTTGAGGGTAGGGGAACACACCGACCACCTTTCCTGAAGTCTGAAAGGCACCTCCCCACCATGGAAGATCCAAGGGTACCATCCTTCTCATTCTGCCAGAAGCCCTCTCAAAGTCTCATCAGCAAATTAGACTGACAGCAGGCTGTCAGGCAGAGATGGACAGAGGTAAATCCTGCAGTACTTTGGGATGTTGGCTGACCCACCCCTGGGCTCTGTACTGATAAAAGCCAGCCTTGCCCCACAGTGTGGATGATCCCATGTACCAGCAAGCTTGGAGGAGACAGCCACAAACTGAATCCCTTGTAGGTTTGAACATGCTGCAAAGGACTAGACTCAGCATCTGACATTGGCTTAAACCAGCTTCAGGCAACATCAGAGCCATATCCAAAGGGAGAACCCAGCAGGCAAGCACTAAACATTGCTGAGATGAATTCCACTTTGTTCTCTTTCATTATTTTCAGTATTTGTTTTTCATAGCCTTTGCATTATTTTTTTCCTAGAAATTTTCCTGTATTTTTCCTTTCATATCATTTACTTTACTACTTCCTTTTCTTATTCCATTTTTCCTTTTTCCTTTGCTTATTTTTATTTGTTTTTTTGTGGGGTTTTTTTCCTTTCTCTTTTCTTTTCTTTTCTTTTTTTTTTTTTTTTTTTTGCTGTTTTTCTGTTCCTTACTCATTTCTCCTCTCAATCATTTTTCTTTCCTTTAGTCTTCTTGTATTTTTTTCTTTTCCATTCCTTTTCTCTTTCCACTTTTATTATTCTTTGCTCTTTTGTTTTTTATTTTGCTGTTTTGGGGGTGCATTAGCTGGTTTTGCAGTGTGTGTGTGTGTGTGTTTCTGTGAACATCTGTAGAACTGTGAAAGAGGTACTTGGGGTTGAGCCTCTCAGTCAGCTAGCCAGAGGGAAGATGCTACCAACGAAAAGGCCAACAACAATCAAGACAAATACAACAGGAGAGCCCATGGAACCCACACAAAAGTGCTTCCTAGAGCATCCAGCTCAGGAGATCAAGGAGACTGCATCACTGTGTCCCACAGGACTCCTACCACATAAGGCTACCCCATGAAGACAGGGAATCAAAGCAGATCTATCTAAAACACACACACAAAAAGAAAACTAAAATGGAGAGACAACCCCCTCAAAAAAAGAAAAGGAGGAATCTCCCGAAAAAAAGGTAAATAAAATTGAGGGAAACGATTGATCAGACATGAAGTTCAAAGTAATGGTTATAAGAATGCTCAAGGAAATTAGAACTAATAAGGAACTTAGTGGGAAATACATCAGCATGAAAAGACAAAAACTATGAGTGAGAACAAGTTGGAAATGAATGCAATATCTGAAATGAAGATTACAATAGAAGGAATTTAAAGCAAGACTAGATGAAGTAGAGGAGCTAATCAGTGATTTGGAAGACAAGGTGGATAAAAACACCCAATCAGAGTAACAAAAAGATGAAAAGACTTTTTTTCTTTACACAAATTTAACCCAATAACATTCAGCAAAACTATAGAAAACTTTCAGAACCAAGTAGAAGATGGTAGTTATAGTAGACTCATCAGGGAGCATGGAGCGCTACTGCTGCAGGGAGGTCCCACAGGCTCTGGAACAGGAATCTGGTTCCTGCAAGTGGCTCACACTCTGCTTTCCTTCCCAGGTTTGTAACAACGAATTCGCATGGGGCTTCAGTGGCACCCCCACGGTGGCAGTGCTTGGAGTCTGTCTGGTTTAGTTTATCTTGTTTCTTTAGGAGCGTTGCTGAGTAGGTAACACGGAGAACACCCTGTGTCCTAGCCTGGGAGCGTCACTAGTAAAGCCATGTAACGGTAGATCATCCATGCATTCATTGCCTTTCACAGCAAAAAAAAAAAGAGTTCTCATCTATGCATGACAGACTGATGACCACTAGAAGCCACCCAACCAGTAATCCAGTGCTGCCTTCAAACAGGAGACATGAAGCTGCTTGCAGTAGTGTTCAAAAGGAATGCTATTCTGTGAGGTGGTCATGCAGAAGGTATCTTGTCGTCCTGAGAGGTCCGAGGAGGAGGTGTTGACAGGGGTGCTGTGATGCAGCTGCATACTCACTTCCCACTCTCCATGCCAGACACGGGCCAAGGAGTGGTTGTAGCAGTGTGTGAGGTAGGGGTGAATGAGGTGGAAGCAGCCACTTCTTGTGTCCCCCTGAGCCGGCATGAGGCTGTGGAAGGGAGTCCGCAGGTGGCTGGGTTTTGGGAGTGTCTCAGGTGGTCCTCGCGATCCCAGTGTTCCCGCTTAGCATCATCTGCTGCCCAACTGGTGCCAACCTTGAGCATGTTCCAGTCGTAGGAGAAGCCCTGGCGATGGAACAGGTTCCTGAAGAGCTGCTTCAGGTACGAGTAGGCAGGCTTGTCATCAAAACGCAAGGAAAGACAGAAATTCAGGTAAGTAATAAACTCATAGGGGTAGCCCTTGCACAGCACTTTGATGGGCATGGACATTTTCTTCTTGTACTTCTGCCTCTTGGTGGCAGCCTTCAGCTCCTGCCAGGGCATGGAGCCCAGTGACTCCAGATTGTCCCTTGGAGGTTGTTCGATGCTGGGATGCATGTTGATGGAGGCGTACTGCATGGTCCCAGTGAGGTTTTTGTTCTCACTGCAGGGGATGTACTGGTGGGTCTGGGCATCCTGGTACTTCTTGGCCAGGCTGAAGTCTATGATGTAGACCAGGTTGCCCTTCCTCCTCAGCCCCGTAAGGAAGTTATCTGGTGTCATGTCACAGTGGATGAAATTCTTTGAGAGAATGTATTCTATCTGACTGTTCATCTGGTCACCAGCAGCGGGACAGTCTTGAGACTGAACTTCCTCAAGCAGAAGTTGAAGAGGTCTTCCAGGCTTGGCCCCAGCAGCTCCATTACCATGATGTTGTAGTCCCCCTCCACCCTGCACCACTGAATGATGGGGATGCCCATTCCTCCCTGCATCACTTTGTAGATTTTGCTCTTAGTGTGGAGCTGAGGGTGTTTGGTTTTGACATTCAAAGTTGATGACAACTTCTCCTGTAACAATGTCTGTACCTAGATAGATATATCCAAAAGAGCCGCTGCTGATTTTCTGCCCACAGGCACCTGTTCCTGACTCAGCTCCACAGTGATGGTGTCTGGCTTTCTCCTGCCCTCTCAGCTGTTTTCTGGGTCTCAGATAAAAAGACTCTAAAAGAATGAGGCTAGTTTATGGGGCCTTTGGGACAACATGAAACAACAATATCCACATCATAGGGATACCAGAAGAAGAAGAAAGTGAACAAGAGATAGAAAACCTGTTTGAAGAATAATGACAGAAATATTTTCTAATCTGGTGAAGAAAAGAGTCACAAGTTCAGGAATCAGAGTCCCAGTCAGGGAGAATCCAAAGATACGCACACCAAGACACGTCATAATTAAAATGGCAAAGTTTAAAGGCAGTAAATTAAAGGCAGCAAGAGAGAAACAGTTGCCTAAAAGGGAGTTCCAATGATATTGTCAGCTGATTTCTCAACAGAAACACTTCAGTCCAGAGGGGATTGGCATGAAGTATGCATAGTATTGAAAAACAAGGACATTTGTCATTACTATGATGAAAACCAAGCAAGCCAGACTTCTCTTTCCAGCAAGGCTAGCATTTAAAATTGAAGTCAAAGGTAAAGAGCTTCCCAGACAAGAAAGGCTAAAGGAGTTCACTACCAACTAACCAGCATTGCAAGTGATGTTGAAGGTACTGCTTTAAGAAGAAAAATAAACAGAGAGGAACACAGCTATACAACGGTGGGGGGGATGGTAATGAATAAGTACTTATTCATATAATCTTAAATGTAAATGGATTAAATGCTCCAATCAAAAGACATAGGGTGGCTGAATGGACAAGAAAACATGACCTATATATATGCTCTCTACAAGAGATCCACCTCAGAACAAAAGATTTACACAGGTTGAAAGAGAAATGATGGAAAAAAATATATTCCATGCCAGTGGGGACCAAAAAAAAGCCATATTTTTTTTGCAATACTTTTATGTAAAAAAATAGACTTCAAAACAAAGGCCATAACAGAGACAAAGAAGATCACTACATAATACTAAATATATCAGTCCAACAAGAGAGTATAACCCTTGTAAACACATGCACCCAATATAGGAGCACATAAAAAATAAAGATAATATTGGCGGACTTTAAGGAAGCAACTGACAGCAATACAGTCATTGTAGGAGATTTTTAACATCCCACCATCACACTAAAATTCAACAAGGAAACAATGACCTTAAATAATACACTAGATCAAATGGATTGAATTGATATTTATGGAACATTTCATGCCAAAGCAGCAAAATACACATTCTTCTGAAGTGCACATGGATCATTCTCAAAGATAGGCCATGTGGTATGACACAAAATAAATCTGAACAAATTCAAGAAAATGAAATCATACGCCTTTTTTTGGATTATAATGGCATGAAACTAGCAATCAACCTCAATAGAAAACTAAAAACCATTCAAATACATGGAGTTTAAATAGCATGTTATGAAATTATGAATGGTTTATCAATGAGACCAAGGAAGAAATAAAAAATTACCTCAAAACAAATGAAAATGAACACACAACACCCCAAAACCTAGGGAACACAGCAAAAGCAACCTGAGAGGGAATTTCATAGCATTACAGGCCTACCTCAGGAAAATAGAAAAGTCTCAAATAGTCTAACCCTACACCTAAAAATAACAAGACATACAACAACAAACAGCCCAGACTGAGTAGAAGGAAGGAAGTAATAAACATCAGAGCAGAAATAAATGACACAGACATCAAAAAAAAAAAAAATTCCAAAGGATCGATGATTCCAGGAGCTGGTTCTTTGAAAAGATAAAATTGACCAACCTTTAACCCAATTCTTCCCAGCTAGTTGAGAACTACAAAGGAAAATATTTCAATTAAAGGTCATGTGAACAAACAAAAGGAAAAGAAAAGAGGAGAGAGGACCCAAATAAAATTAGAAATGAAAGTGGATAAGTAACAACTGATACCACAGAAATACAAAGGATTGTAAGAAAATACTATGAGCAATTATAAGCCAAGAAATTGTACAACCTAGGCAAAATGGATACATTTCTATAAACATACAATCTTCCAAAACTAAATCAGGAAGAAGCAGAAAACCTGAATAGACCGATAGCTAATGATATTGAAACAGCAATAAAAAGAACTTCCAGCAAACGAGAGTCTTGGACCAGACAGTTTCAGAGGCAAATTTTACCAAACATCCCAAGAAGAATTAACACCTATCCTTCTCAAACTATTCCAAAAAATTAAAGAAGAGGGAAGACTTTCAAACTTTTCATAAGGCCAGTATTATCCTAATTTCAAACCAGTCAAAAACACCACAAAGAAAGAAAATCATAGGCTAATATCCCTGATGAACATAGGTGGAAAAATCCTCAAAAAAATATTAGCAAAACAAATCTAGCAATACATTCAAAAGATCATACACCATGAGCAAGCGGGTTTTATTCCACAGATGCCAAGTTGGCACAATATTTGAAAATCAATAAATGTGATATATCACATAAAATGAATGATAAAAAATCACTCAAAATCATATCAATAGAAGCAAAAAAGCATTTGATAAAATCCAGCACCCATTTAAGATAAAAACACTCACCAAAGTGGGAATAGAGGGATTTTATTACAACATAATATGGGACACATACAATAAACCTACAGCCAACATTATACTCAATGGGCAAAAACTAAAAGCATTTCCCTTAAAATTAAGAACAAAACAGGGGTATCTGCTTCCAACAGTCTTATTCAACATAACACTGGAAGTCCTAGCCAGAGTGATCAAACAAGAAAAAATAAAAGGCATCCAAATTGGAAAAAAGGAAGTAAAACAGTCATGATTTGGAGACAACATAATATTGTCTCCACCAAACACTACTAGACCTATAAATGATTTCAGCAATGTAGTGGGATAAAAAGTCAATATTCAGAAATCTATGCCATTTTTATATACCAATAATGAACTATCTTAAAGGGATGCTATGAAAATAATCCTATTTACTATTGCAACAACAACAGCAATGACAACAACAAAAAGAAGGTACTTAGGAATACATTTAACCAAGGAGGTAAAGACCTGTACTCTGAAAACTATAGGACACTGAAAAAAGAAATTTAGGAAGAAATAAATAAGTGGAAGTATATACCATGTTCATGGATTGGAAGATTTAACGTCATTAAAATGTTTATACTCCCCAAAGAAATCTATAAATTCAATCCAATTCCTATTAAAATACTAACGGCATATTTCACAAATCTAGGACAAATGTTCCAAACATTTATATGAAACCCAAAAGACCCCGAATAACCTCAGCAATCTTGAGAAAGAATAAAGTTGGAGGGATCACAATACCTGATATCAAACTATACTGTAAGGCCACTGTGGTAAAAATTCTAGTATTGGCATAAGAACAGACACACACACCAAGGGAACAGAATGGAGAGCCCGGAAGTAAATCCATGTTTTTATGGCCAATTTACATTTGACAAAGAAGGCAAGAGCATACAACAGTCTAAAGACAGCCTCTTTAATAAATAGTGTTGGGAGAATTGGACTTGTATATGCAAAAAAAATGAAAGTAGACCACCAACTTACACCATACACAAGAATAAACTCAAAATGGATAAAAGACTTAAAAATAAGTCCTAAGTTCCACATCTCATTGTCTAAATCACCTAAGTTAGTTATGGGTAAGATCTGGGTATGATCCTGGGACAATATCCTCTTGATCTGTAGTTTAATAACTTATTTTAAAGTAACTTGTTCCCAAAATTCAATGGCAGGATAGGCACAGAACACCAGCAATAGGCACTGTACTTGGGAGTTAGGTAAGGCCACGTAATAAATCTGACTGCAAGGCATGGGGTTTCATTTTTTGAAATAGTGAGAACTTTATATGGATCTGTTTTGAGCAATTATATGTAGTGTCTTCTTTAAAACAACAGTTCTGTAAGGCAAATGTCTCAACTTCCTGGATGAGGAAAAATAAAAACAAATGAAATATTATTGTGTCAATTTCACAGCAAAGTAAAAATTAAACAAAGAAATTGAGTAAGTCATCTAAGACCACTGGTGGAAACAGTTTATGAATCCAGGCTGTCTAAACTGTTTCAAATGACAAGTAGGCATAAACAGGATAATGAGTCAGGTGGCAGGATGGATGAAGGGTGCTGCAGGCAAAAGAAACCATATGCTGAATAAGGCCTTGCCTTGAGCCCACTACTTAACCTTTGGTTATATGAACCAAATAATTCCCTTTAATGTTGAAACCAGTAAGAGTCAGACTTAAGGTACTTGAACCCAAGAATATCCTGATTTTACCATTTATCTTGCCACAGTCTGCTAAATGTCCTTCTTTTCTCTGTTCACATTGTTCCTGTCATTCAACTCAATGATGTCATGACCTACTAAGGATCTGGAGTCCAAAAGTGTCTGACAGCAGCTTCTGGTATTACATCTGTTCTAACATTCAGCAAGATGTATTCTGCCTATCATTGCAAGCAAGCCCTAAGACTTACCCACTGGGTCAGCTTGGGTCTTAAGACCACTAATCATTATCCTTAGGAAAGTGGGATAGATTGATTAGTTTAAATTCACTCTCCTATTCCATCCACTCTTTTTAAATTGATTTTGAGAGAGACAGAGAGAGGAAGTGAGAGAGAGAGAGAGAGAGAGAGAGAGAGATCAGTTATGTTGTTCCACTTATTTATGCATTCATTGGTTGGTTCTTGTATGTGCCCTGACCCAGAATCAAACCTGCAAACCTGGCATTTGGGGATGACGCTCTAACCAACTGAGCTGCTCAGCCAGGGTCCATCCACTCTTAAATCTGAACATGCAGTTCCCTTCCCCAGAAACATAAGATTCCCAGATGGAATTGAGGGGAGTGGGTATAGGGAATGGATGCTGGAACAACAATCAACATAAGTAATGTCTCTTGAATCATGTTACATATGATATAATAAAAGACCCCCAAATACAGCAGCTGAAATAGACTACATTTATTTTTTTTTAAAAGATATTTGATTTTATTTTTAGATAGAGGGGAAGGGAGGGAGAAAGTTACAAAGAGAAACAGAGGGGAAGGGAGGGAGAAAGAGAGGGCATTAAATATGTGGTTGCCTCTCACATACCCCCTACTGGGAACCTGGCACACAATCCAATGTTCTCTGATTGGGAATTGAACCAGCATCCCTTTGGTTCACAGGCCAGCACTCAATCCACTGAGCCACACCAGCTAGGGCCATTTATTTTTGACTTTACAGAGCTAGGTGTTCCAGAACTCTGAGGGGACTCTAGCATCCTCAGTACTTCCATTTCTGAATTCAAGGTGGCTGTTCCCATAGTAACCTCTCAGTCAGCAGAGAAGGGAAAAGGGCAAAGGGAAGACGTGATCATACTTTCCATGGCACTGCTGAAGTGGCATACACTCCCTTAATTTGATTCCCATTGGCCATTATTTAACCAGAAACCCTCACAAAGCTGCCAGAGAGGTGTGAAGATAGGAGACTAGCAGGTTGGACCCACACGCACCTAAAACTTTTATGGAGAAAACTTGTCCTTGTCAAGGTTCAGGCATGAGATCCTGGTGTTCCTTCTTCTAAGTATTGATCCTGAACCAGATGTCAGCTGCTTCTCCTGGCTGCATCTACAGCAACCATCATTGGTTAGGTCCTCTAGTAGAGTAAGTCATTATGGCTGAAACACCATGCTTGGGAAGGGAGAGCTGCTAACTGTATTTGCTATGGACCCTCACCTGAATTCCACATCACAGCTTACTCCATTGCTTACACCATGCGGGATTAGCCACCAGAACCATTGCTATCTGTGACCCCTCCCATCTCCCCACTCTTTGTCTGAGGATCTCTTCTGATGCCAGCAACGTCCTGGTCACACAGACTGGCTGCATCTCTATGGCCAGAGACTCACATATCTTCTAATCAATATCCTCCTTCTGAAAGTAAGTTGGCCTTTTCTTCCCTGGACCTTAAATTTCTTATTTTGAAAGAGGGTGACCTCAAGCTCTGGTCCAGTTCTGATAGGCTCTGTGATTCAAGGAGGAGAAAATCCCAGAAAAAGTACAGGCCCCAGGTAAATGACAAGGAAACGTGAAGAAATTTCTGAAGCCAAGCAAGCTCCAACTCCTGGAGAACACAGACTCTCTGTGATCTGGCCAGAGAGGCGTTTTAGCGCTAGCTAAACGGTTTTGTGTGTATTACATGCGGGATTATTATTATACCACAGTATGTACCCATGGGTATACTCATGTATGATGCTTATCTTTATTTTTCCCTCAAAAATTTGGGCAAAACAGTGCACATTATACACAGCAAAATACGGCAACTGGAGACTAGCTATCAGTTCTGAAGCAGCCTCCTCCACTCAGGCGGAGTGATGATCCTAACGATCCCAGTTAATTGCGAAAATTCAGTCCATTCACTGGGATAAGGACTAGAGCATCTTTGCTCTGCACTGGGGTCGTGGAATGCGCATCTGGAATAGGAAACACCACCCCCTACGTCCTTACAGACAATTGCAGTCGCAACGCTGGCTACCGCAAACACTAATAGTTACTGGGTGAAAGTTCGCAGATGTTATCGCGAGAGTAAAACCAGTCGCCCAGGGCCGAATCCGAGAAATGCGGATCAGTCCCAGAACGCAAACGCAGTTTTGCCAACGACGCATTCTTCCTACGCGTTGCTGTGACGTCCAGTCGCCAAGGCAGGCTCCCTACAGAGCGACCCTGCATTTCCTTCCTCTTCCCCAGCCGGTTCTCAGCTTCACTTCCGGTCTCTTATTTCCGGTTCTTGGTGCGCCCTTCCCCCCAACTTGTTTTCGCTTCCTACAGAAAAGTTCGTGTTGGAGTTAGAATCTTCAACTCCCGTCAGGATTGGCCTTGTCTGAGGCCGGGAAGTTCCTTGGCCGTGACCAGAGGGCGACGCCCTCACTTGCACGATGGTGAGTAGGACGGGGTGAGTGAGGGAGGAAGCGGCGCGCCCACCCGCTGCGAGGGCTTCCAGCCCCTTCAGGTGCCTTCGTTGTAGGCGCTCAACCGGCATCGCTGCGGGCTTTAGGCTCCTACAGTGTAATTTATTTGAGAATTCTCTTCCTGCCTCTCTTTAGCTATCAGAAGTTGGAGACGGAAAGTGGAATCTCGAGAGCCACCGTCTCCCAATGGTGCTTTAATCTTGGCGAAGCGCTTTACGCTATCAATAGGGGAAATTAAAGAACACAGAGGCAGGCACAAAGACTGGCTCCGATTCACGGTTCCTGCCATGGGTCGAATTGTTTGTCCCCAAGTCTCGTAGCGGTTGTGACCATATGTTCCTGGATTGTTTGATTTATATATGTTCCCAACACAATATAAAAACTTCCCTAGGGCAGGAGCTTTTCAACATTGCTTTTTTAATGTCCAGCTATCTGGCACGTTGTAGGTGTTCAGTTAACGCATGAATGAATGCAATAGTGCCATTGCATGAGGGTGTGATGTCTGGTCTGGTGTGGTTAGTTGGCTTCTTCATTCATTCAGGAGGCGCTCACAACAGGTAAATATGAGAATGCACATAGTGCTGGTACAAAAATGATGCTCATGCATGTTGGTTTACTATAATATTTTGAAGAAATGAGGCCCACATTATATACCTTCGACCCTGTATTAAGGTTATAGAATAATTCCAACATTAAGGTTACATTAGGAACCAGTGTAGATTGATGAACACAAGAACCTAAGAACGAGAGAAACCAGTTGGCTAGAAGCAGTGCTTTCTGTAGGAGGATATGTCCCATATTTACTGTTTCATACTGCCCCAAGGCTCTTCATTTCTGAACTCTGGCAAGCCTTGGGAGTCTCCTCTTTCTATTCCCTAGCCAGGGAGATGATCCTTGGGCCTGGATATTTCTGGTTACTGGAGTTGTTGGCTATTTTATATAACACCACCAAATGTTCATATTTGTGGGTTCGTCACCCTGGGTATATGCCCTCATCACTGATCACTTATTGATTCATTGTTTTTGAGGAAGTTCCTATGAGTTCCTTGGGAAGAACCATGGCTTAACTCAGCACCTAGCATGATATTTTAAGCTTGGAGTAAGGACTGAGAAATACTGAATTAAATATTTAGACTATGTAGGCATTAATGGAATAACTAGGACACCAGTCTCAGTCTTCAAGATGATGCCTTCCCCTGGGAGAGCCTCTATTTTACTCCTTAGTAAACATTGTGTTCATTTATCCACCAAGCATTTGCCAAGTTTGTTTTTGTGTCCACTGCAAAGGAGGGTCAGAAAGGAGATTTAAATGAGCTCACTTTTTGCTTAGCATCTGTAAACAGCATACCTGATGTCTTCATGTATTTATCTCATCAAGCCATCATGATATATGTATGAGATAAGAGGTATGATCCCTGTTGTAAAGTAGTCTTAGAGAGAGACTACTTCTCAGGGATGATAAGTGGAAGAGCTGGGAATAAAATTCAGTTCCATGACTCAGCAAGTATATTTTCACTTACACTCAGAAAACGTTTTCCCTGCCTGACATTGTGTTTCAGGGATAATTGACTTGACACTAGTGTGATAATACTTACATAAAACTTACTTTGTAAAAGTTAGTCTATTTTTCTCAAATTCCGTTGCCAGGAAACAGACAATTGTGATAACTAGATGGAAAGTGCCATGGCAGTTATAAACCCAAACAAAGGGTAGCAACCTAGCTGGGAAGAAGGGGGCCATGGAAGAATTTTGTGGGATGATGAGGACACTGGTAAATTTTGAAGGATGAATAGGAGGAGTTAGCCAGATGCAAGGGGTTGAGGACCAGAGGAGTAAAGATTTTAGGTAGAGGGAGCAGCATAAGTAAAGTCACAGGATTTGGACGTCTTTTAATTATTATTTTTTTTAAATTTTGAGAGTATGTTTATTAAAGCTGGGGATTGTGAAACAGGGAAGGGCTTAGAATAGAAGAAGCAACAGGAGAGAGCCCAGGCAGGGATACTTTGGCTCTCTAGAAATGTTATAGGAAAGAAATAAGCCTAGGCTGCTTTGGCTCACTAGAAATTCCATGAAAAGGGACCTTGGAGAGAGATTCAAGTGGTAATCCCAGGATGAGTTTTTGCCCTCCATTGCGTCCCTTATTGCAAGCCTTGTGGGGACCCTTAGAGTTTAGGAGATGTGTGCCTGAGAGAGAAGAAAGGTGTGGGTATGCTCCCTTGACGGAGATTGCTTGCTGCTTGCTTGCTTGTTTGTTTATTTATTTGTTATTTCTGTATTTATATGCTGCTTCAAGCATTTTGCTTGTGGTTGTGCCTTGTGGGGAAACTTGTCACTAAAAAGCAAATGGAAAAAAAGTTTTTAAAAAATGGGTATTTGTCTTCTCTTCTTTCCCCTTTTAGGCCCGAAATGCAGAAAAGGCCATGTAAGTATCAACTTAATTTTGTCTGTAGATTTTATGTAACTTAATTACTACTACAGGGCTCTTTCTGTGTTTGGTCCTTTTGGTATATGAACCTTTTGATATATGTTTCTTTTTCTACATATTTTCAAATAGTAGTCCTATATTTTCCCATTTGTTTTCCCCATGAGTGCTTTCTGAAAGCTCCCAGAACTTTTACTGGATGAACATTCATTCACTTGGGCATGGAGGCAGGGGCTGTGAGAGTGACAGCTAGAGTACCCCAAGATTTTTGCTCACCAGAGTGGTCTCATAAGTTGAGTTTCCCACAGTCCTTACATGCAGTGAAAATAAAATAGATACTTGGGTGTTCAGGAACACACATGGCCTTATAAGTTCTACTCTTTGGAACATGGAAACCTTTAACTTCTCTGTGGTTTCTTAATCACAACACATACACACACACAGGGATGATGTTAAATATGGTCATGAGCAGATTTATCCTATCTAGGAACTTGGGTGATATGAGGTCTGTGAGCAGGATCTAATGGAGTCTACTCTCTTTCTGGTAGGACGGCCTTAGCAAGATTTCGCCAAGCTCAACTGGAGGAGGGAAAAGTGAAGGTTGGTGTAAATTTTCCTCTTGAATTGTAAAGTATCATGAAAAATGTGGTACAACTCCCTCTTGAGCAGACCTCAAACTCAGAATCTTTCTATTTTTTTTCTATACTTGCTGACATGCTTACGAGTCTATACACTTGAATTTTAGGTACATCTCTATAGTTAGGGCTGTGTGATGATCTGGCTGCTTGTTCTTCCATCTCTTTTGTACTATGATAATTGTGTTCCCATATTATCCCAGCTCTGTCTGACTTTGAATAATAGGAAGTGGAATAGCTGTGGGGAGCAGCTCTTAGCTGAAACCAGTAAGTGATCTCAAACTCACAAGAGACTCAGCCAGATTAGGGATAAAATGTACCATTCTTTGGATATTTTGTTTTGTTTACATTTTACTTTTTCTTTAGTTTTTTGTATCAGTTTCAGGTGTATAGTATAGTGGTTAGACAATCCTATGCTTTACAGAGTATTCCCCTGGATAATTCCAGTTCCATCTGCCACCATACATAATTGATACAGTATTACTGTCTGTATTCCCTATGCTGCACTGTACATCCTTGTGACTGTTTTGTAACACCAGTTTGTACTTCTTAATCTCTTTACCTTTTTCACCTAGTCCCCCAACCCAGCCTTCACTTCTGACAATCATTAGTCTGTTCTCTGTAACTGAGCCTGTTGCTGTTTTGTTTATTTAAACTGTTCTTTAGATTCCACATGTATGTGAAATCATATGGCATTTGTCTTTCTCTGACTTATTTGACTTAGCATAATACCCTCCAGGTCCATTCATGCCATCGCAAATGGTAAGATTTCGTCCCTTTTTATGGTTGAGTAATATTATGTTGTGTATATATACCACTTTTTTATTCACTTGTCTGTTGATGGGCACTGGGGTTGCTTCCATATCTTGACTATTGTAAATAATGCTGCAATGAACATAAGGGTGCATATATTCTTTCGAATTAGTGTTTTGGGTTTCTTCAGATATATACCCAGAATTGGAGTCACTGGGTCATAAGGCAGTTCCATTTTTAATTTTTTGAGGACTCTCTATACTGTTTTCCACAGTGGCTGCACCAGTCTGCTTTCCTACCAACAGTGTGCATGAGGGTTCCCTTTTCTCCACATCCTCATCGACACTTCTTTCATTGATGATAGCCATTCTGACAGATGTGAGGTGGTACCTCATTGTGGTTTTAATTTGCATTTTTCTGATGAGTAGTGACATTGAGCATCTTTCCATATGTCTGTTGGCCATCTGTACACACACATATACTCTCACACACGTATATATACACAAACAGCTCTGTTCCAGATGTTGATGGCTATCATTTCTTAAGGTGATATAAATATGCTATAAAGTGGATATAACCTAGTTTACTTAGCCATCTCTCTAATGTTGAACTTTTAATTTGTTTCCTTTGCTTCACTGTACTAAATACAATGCAATGAATGTTTTTGCCCATTGTTTCCTAAGTAGAGATTGTAGAGTGAGGTTTAAGGTTTGATGAGATCATCTGGAAGTGAAACTTTAGATGCATTTAGACATTTTGGACTTTTAGCCTGATTCAGTTGAATGTTGCATGAAGCTTTTAACTTCATACAGCATAGTGGCAACCTGTAAAATTTGCTTCTTTTCAGGAACGAAGACCCTTCCTTGCCTCGGAATGTACTGAGTTGCCCAAAGCTGAGAAGTGGAGACGACAGGTATGTTCTGGGTGAATGTGATCTTAGTAAAAGTAGTAGGTTTCTAATTGCTTCTTGTTATCTAAATGACTCTTAAACCAGAATTCTAAGTTTTTTTAATTACTAATATTAAATAACATTTTCCTGTGCTTTTAGACATATTAGAAAATAATAAGAATGTATTTTTTATTTTTTTCATAGATCATTGGCGAGATCTCTAAAAAAGTGGCTCAGATTCAGAATGGTAAGCTAGTCTGTCTACTTAAAGTGTTTGATTTTCAAATCTACAATTAGACTTGGGGATGTCAACATTCTTCTCTCAATAATCAATAGAACAAGTAGAAAATCAGTAGGGACATAGAAAAACTGAAAATACTACCAATAATTTGATCTCTTGACATTTATAGAACACTCCCCCTGACATAAAAGAATACACTTTATTTTTTAAAGAGCACATGTAACGTTCACCAAAATAAAACATATATTGGCCCTGGCAGTGGCTCAGTGGATTGAGTGCTGGCCTATGAACCAAGGGGTCACCAGTTAGATTCCCAGTCAGGACACATGCCTGGGTTGCAGTCCAGGTGCCCCGTTGAGGGCATACAAGAGGCAGCCATACCTTGATGTTTCTCTCCCCTTTCTTTCTCCCTCCCTCCCCTTCTCTCTAAAAATAAATAAAGTCTTTTAAAAAACCATTTTTGGGTTATAAAACAAATACTAGAAAATTTAAAATAATTGAAGTCATACAACGTGTGTTCTCTGATAGCATTAATGTAGAAATCAACAACCAAAAGATATTGGGAAAATTCCTAAATATTTGGAAGTTAAACAACATACTTCTAAATAACCCAGTGTCACATGCGGTTCCATAGTGTAGCAGTTAGCACATCTAAATAACCCATTTGTCAAAGAAGAAACCATAAGGAGATTAGAAATTTTGGGGGAGGTACATGAGTATTTGTTTTTCTATTTTTTAAATAATTAAATTTTCTCAGTTATAGTTGAGATACAATATCATAATTGTTTCAGGTATACAACATAGTGGTTACACATAATTTACGATAAGCCTAGTACCCATCTATACCATATTATTATATTTGTTATTACGTATATAGTTATTACATATATACTTATTACAATATTATTGACTATATTCTTTATGGTCTACTTTACATCCTCATAACTACTTTTTTAACTTCCAGTTTTTACTTCTTAACCCCTTCTCCTATTTCACCCAGTCTCCCAAATCCCCTCCCCTCTGGCAACCACCAGTCTGTTCTTTGTATGTATGGATTTGTTTTTGCTTATTTGTTAGGTTCCACTATAAGTGAAATCATATGGTATTTGTTTTCCTCCGACTTATTTGACTTGGCATAAAACCCTTTAAGTCCATCTTTGTTGTGGCAGATGGCAAGATTTCATTCTTTTTGCGGCTGAGTAATAGTCCATTATGTAAGGGTATCACATCTTTACCCATTTGTCTCCTGATGGACAGCCACTTATGTTGCTTCCATATCTTGGCAGTGATCACAAGGATGCAAATATCTTTTTGAAATACTGTTTTGGATTTATTTGGATATATACCCAGAACTGGGATTGCTGGGGGAGTTGGTAGTTCTCCTTTTTAATTTTTAGGGAAACCTCCATATTGTTTTCTGTAGTGCCTATATCAACTTACGTTACTACCGATATGCACAAGACCTTCCTTTTCTCCATATCCTTGCCAAAACTTGTTTGATTTATTGATGATAACCATTCTGAGAGGTGTGAGGTGATATCTCATTGTGGTTTTAATTTGCGTGTCCTTTTTTCTTTAACAACTGATAGTCAAATTAAAAAGATTGATTTAAGCATCTGTAATGGTGACTTCAGTCTCAACAGCTCAATACTGATGAAAGTAATCTTTTTAACAATCTCAGAAGGATTCTTCAAGTCAATGAGTTGCTTGTGGGTCCTCATTGATAACGACCACAGGTCTTAGAACTGGCCCCCTTCTACTCCCAACAGGGAGTTTTTCTTGTAGTGATTCTCAGAGTCTTGCTAGGCATCTGAATTGAGATTCTTTTCCTTTGCGCCTTGGATCAAGTCAGCACACACCTTCTCCGAGGACTTTATGGTCTGTCTGATTAAAGTAATTCTAACCCATTGAAGCGCCACCTCTGGTTGAATGGCTGTCTTTCCGGTATCTTTAAACACCATTGCTGCTGCGCTTCTTATTGACCAACTTATTCCTTGGCGAGAGCAAACATGGGTGAGTCAGAAGCAGGAGCGGGTGGGACAGCGATTAGCTTCAGCTGCAATATCCTCATCCTCAGAGAGCTTGATTTGCATATCCTTGATGATTAGTGATGTTGAACATCTTTTCATATGTCTGTTGGCCATCTGTATGTCCTCTGGAGAAATGTCTGTTCTGGTCCTCTGCCTGTATTTTAATTGGACTTTTTGGTTTTTTTAATTGGTTAAGTTACATGAGTTACTTACATTGGGTTGGCCAAAAAGTTTTTCTTCTTCTTCCTGTAAGATGGTTCTAGTAGAGCTTAGTTTGTCTTTAACTTCATTTGAAAGAATTTTGTTAGATTGTATCATGAGAGCTGTCATAGATCAGCCTGCATTTTTAAAAACCTTACCAAATTGGTGAATTTTTGTGTAGCCATTTTAATATTGAAGATGGGAGAAAATATGCAACATTTTTAGCATATTATGCTTTGTTATTTAAAGAAAGGTAAAGATGCAACTGAAAGGTATTGTGCAGTGTATGGAGAAGGTGCTGTTACTAATTGAACATTTTAAAAGTGCTTTGTGAAGTTTTGGCTGGAGATTTCTTGCTGGATGGTGGGTGGACCAGTTGAAGCTGATAGCAATCATTTGAAACATTGAGAACAATAAACGTTATACCACACAGGAGATAGCTGACATACTCAAAATACCCAAATCAATAAAGTTATTGGTGAAAATAAAAAATGTGTCTTTTATTTTACAGAAAAAACTAAATGGACTTTTTGGCCAACCCAATATATTTTGGATATTAACCCCTTATTGAATGTTGTTATTGGCAAATGTATTCTCCCATATAGTAGGTGGTTCATTTTTTTGATGGCTTCCTTTGCTGAGCAGAATGTTTTAGTTTGCTGTATTCCCATTTGTTTATTTTTCCTTTTGTTTCCCTTACCCAAGGAGACATACTCCCAAAAATACTACTAAGAGTGTTATCACAGAATTTACTGCTTATATTTTCTTCTGTGAGTTTTATGGTCTACATTTAGGTCTTTAATACATTTTGAGTTTTTTCTTGTATATGGTGTAAGAAGGTGGGCTAATTTTATTTGTTTGCGTGTAGCAGTCCAGTATTCCCAATACTATTTGTTGACGAGATTGTCTTTACCCCACTGGATATTCTTGCCTCCTTTGTCATATATTAATTGACCATAAAGGTGTGGGTTTAATTCTGGGCATCCTGTTCTGTTCTGTTGATCTGTGTGTCTGTTTTTATGCCAGTATCAATGCTGTTTTGGTAAACTGTAGCCTGATAGTATAGTTTGCTTGATTGATGTCAGGTAGTGTGATACCTCCAACTTTGTACTTCTTTCTCAAGATAGCTTTCACTATTTGGAATCTTTTGTGGTTTCGTATTAATATTATTTGGATTTTTTTGTTTCAGTTTTGTGACAAATGCTATTGGTATTTTGATAAGGATTGCATTGAATCCATAGATTGCTTTGGGTAGTACGGACATTTTAATGCTGTTAATTCTTCGTACCCATGAGCATGGTATATGCTTACATTTGTATTTCTTCAGCTTCTTTCTTCATTGTCTTACAGTTTTCCCAGTACAGGTCTTTTACACTCTTGGTTAAATTTATTCCTAGGTATTTTATTTATTTTTTTGATGTAGTTGTAAATAGAATTGTTTTCTCAACTTTTCTTTCTGATAGTTTGTTACTGGTGTATAACAATGCAACCAATTTCTGAATAGTAATTATTCTGCTTCTTTACTGAATTCATTTATTAGTTTTAATAGTTTCTGGTAGAATCTTTAGGGTTCTCGCTATATAGTAGTAGTATTTAATCTACAAATAAAGACAGTGTTGTTAGTTGGGTGTGGTTGGGTGTCAGGGAATCACCAGGGCAAGGTGAATTCTGTTAAGCAGGTTAATGAAAAGCTCAGATTTTGTGCCTGCCTGCACCTGGTTTGCTCTTTGGGGTTGGGGTTCAACAAAGTAACAGTGGCTCCTGCCAGCCCTTTTATCCCTGCAGAGAGGATGTCCTGATCCCGGTCCCTCCTGCACTTCCTTGAAGCTAGTCAATTTAGTTTCCCCTTGTATGTCCCTTTTGCTTTTTGAGCTGTTACCTCTGTGCTGGAGTGCAGAGCAAGTGAGTTTGTGAGCAAATGAATTTGTGCTTGGGCCCTTTAAGACACGCAGTGCCCAGGTCTCCAGCAGCCTTTAGTCTCACTTGGATACAATCTTCACTAGTTTTTCACAGCCAGTTGTTATGGGGATTTCTATGCCCCACAGTGGGTTCCCTGGTCAGGGGAGCCCGGTGTGGGGCTGGGATCCCATGCTCCTCAGGGGGGAATCTCTACAGATGAGATATTTTTCCTGATTTTTTAAAAAAAATATTTATTGATTTGAGAGAGAGAGAGACATCGATTTGTTGTTCCACTTATTTATGCATTTATTGGTTGATTCTTGTATGTGCCCTGACCAGAGGTTATACCCGCAACTTTGGTGTATTGGGACAATGCTCTAACCAACTTACCTACACGGCCAGGGCTCCCTCCGGATTCTTAATTGCCACACCATGGGTGTGGGACCTGCCTGTTCCATGTGTCTGCCCCCCTACCAGTCTAGATGTGGCTTTCTTATATCTCTAGTTATAGGACTTCCGTTAGCTGGTGTTCAGGTGGTTCTCACGATAGTTGTTAAAATAATTTAGTTGTAATTTTGATGTGATTGTGGGAGGAGGCGAATATAGCATTCACCTTCTTTTCCAAATTGATCAGAACTTTGGAAAATATTTTTGAGTGATAATGAAGACTTAACATCAAAATTTAGGGGAAAAAACAATTATGGCATGGAACTAAAGCAATGCTTAGATAAAACTTACTGCATTAAAATAGTAGAAAATAAGAAAAGTAAAAAAATGAATGAACTAAGTTCCTGCCAAAGGCAACTAAACAAGAAGAGCACATTAAATCCAAAGCAAGCATAAGGAAGGAACTAATAATATGAGAGCAGACATCAG